GACCACGATTCGTGTTGCTCATTATTATTGTATGGACCACTACTAATAAACTTAAGTCGATAGGTGACAAACGGAAACAATACACAACAAGAGGTAGAGTAGGTCTAGAAGGCTGTATCCCCTCTTCCCTCGTCCGAGAAACCTAGTAAGAAGAGATTACCGTTATGTATAAAGAAGGCGGTTCATAGTACTCTAGTCGTAATAAGGTATTGATTCCAATGAACTATGCTGTGACATCATCGTTGCTAAGAAAGGATGAAGTCGAAAAGCCTCTCCTCGGGTCCATCGGAGGTAGCAGTGGGGACCACTATGGGAACACCGAAGTCAGGGCTGGTGGTTCTTGTCGTGAGAGAGGTTTCTAGGTCAGATACGAGAAAAGGGTTTGATAGGTTACCACGGGCTGCATCTTACAAAAGGAAAAGATTCGACACAGTAAGGTTGCCAGGGAGCTCGTTGACTCACCGCATTCTCATAGTAGGCACGCGGCTGCAGTCACCACTCTGGACGGCGCTCTTCCTCGGCTCCGCTGTGGGATGACTCCGATGTCAAAGGTGTCAATAGTGGCAAGTACTGAAGCTCACAAGGGCTCATGGGGGGTCAAAGGAAGACACTGTTTTGAGGATCTGTCACGCTAAACGTGTTGTTAAACACAGGTTATCTGTGTGTCGAAAGTCGTCTTTGTATAACAAGTTTCGATAGCTCTCGTAGAAGTAGGTCTTTCTGGTGATCTTAGTGGGTCGAAGGAATTAGTCATAGGCTATGACTCATAGCCCTTCGCTCAGGAGTTGATTGAAATTCCGGTGTTGCCCATGCTCGCTACGCCAGTCCCTCTGTGTTAGGCATAGTTCTTGGTTCGACATGAGAGTCTTCACGCGCGGTGGTCGCAGGAGTATCATTTCCCCTCGCGGTGAGGTCAACGTCCACAGGCTGATCCCTCGTGGAACCAAGGTGGATCTCCCCAGTGCACTATCTGCTTTACTTTTCACTCAACTCAGCTGTATCTCAACTGGTTCTACGATGCATTTGCTTCCATCATCAGGCTGCCGTATAAGAAACTCTTCCTCTATATAACAATCACGTAGTCGTTCCCTCAGAAATCGTTGAACCATGGACGTAGAATCCTTCCTCAGATACGTTCTAACTGTAGGTGTTGACGCAGTTGTCTTGCAGCTCATCGATCCACATTACGTCTGTGCGAGTAGTGTCAACAGCTTCTCAGACTATTATTTCTTCGTTGTAGGTATTTGAGACGGATGATTGAATTCCATAGTGTTGCAATTCCTCAGGTACAGACCTTGTTCACCATTGGTTACGGTGGTAAGGAGCCTCTGTGTTTCGACACCAACGTTGGTGTTACTATCATATCTATCTTGGGTATGATAATGCACACTGCTCTTACTGGCATTGTCTTTACCAAATTCACGCTAGACAGTAGGAATGTCAAGCATTGATTGGATCGTGATGTGACTGTTCATCATTACCCTCAGACTCACGTAACGTCGCTTGTGCCTTCTCATCGCGCCTTCTTGCCATACCTCCGTCGAGCGGTGATTCGGCCGACTCTAGAGAGTACTTTTGGGGGGCTTCATACAGTGTGTACTAATGTGATATGCAAATACGAGAAATGCGTGTTGCCGAATCGATTCGAAGCTTCGCAGAGTTGAGGTTAGCATTGCTAGTAATCTATCCTGTGGAACTTCTGAAAGAGTTGTAGCGATGACTCGTCCATCCGGTCATTTCATATTCCGTAACAGCACGCAATTTTCACATTCACATATGCAACTGGTATAGACCATAATTACTGCGACAGCATTGCGGGTCGACTTATGCAACATGCGGGTAAAGCAAGACTTCGGAAAGCAGAGGATCGTCCACTGCTGGACGAGCATCTTCGGTTGTGTTTCCCGGTTTGTTGATGTAAGACGGGCGTTTCTGCTGTGACTTAGTCCTTCTCAGTGAGTGTCTGTTTTCCACCGTAACTACTTCCATGTGAGATGCGATTGTTCTTGTAGAGCATGATACGACTCAGACGGTTGGAGTTGTCCAACAGTGCAGTGAGCTGTTCCTGCTTAGTAGCTTGGGG